ACTTGATATCTCACTGATTTCTTGCGAAATATTCTGAAACTTCTGGTCCTGATAAGTTTGGTTTTCGTAAATGAAACTCTTTCGAACCTATTCAAAGAAATCAATTGGTCAAGCAGTAAATTTAGGAATGTATTTAAGGATTTCTCTACCTAAATCAAACTTCTCTTCTTCCCAAAATTTTCTCAAGTTATTCAATGCAAAGAAAAAATAAGCGATGAAAAAATAATATTGCGATCTCATCTCAGCCCACTTGTGATAAGACAACAGTATTGTTTTTTATCGATAGGAAAAAAAATGTGAAAATCAAAAATCAACAAACCATGCTCTCTTGCTTTCAGTAATTGTGCTCGAAGCTGCGTATACTGATCAAAACATAAACCCAACTTCTTGAGAGGTAATATGCGATCAGTATGATTGAAAAGAAACTGTAGAATTAAAGCAGGATTCTGAAATGTTTAATATTTGTAAATAAAGAAGTCGAAAAACTGAATGTGTCATTTAGTTCTTTTTGGCATTCAATGTCCTACTAATAACTGTGAACATTAGACAAGAAATTTTTGTTATTGCATATCATATGTCATTTGTAATGGAAATCACCATAGTTTTTCATATATGCCATTATTTTAGTAAGTTTAATCATTCATTTCAAGTAAACATTCAAGTGCTTCTGTAAACAAAATTCAACTTCCTTTCAAAAAAGTTTATTTCTTATTTCACTTATATCGAGCTCGTTGCTTCATCAGAAACCGGAAATAAACCTTTTTGAAAAAAGTTGACTTTGAGTATACTCGGTCATAAAAAAAACTAAATATCATCTTATCTAAGTGATCTCAATACATACTAAATTTAAACAATAACCATATAAGGGAAAAAATTACCCGATAATCAAAGAATAAATACTCATCTCGACAAATAGGGCAAGCATGATTTACTCGAAATTTTCCTTCCTTATCAACACAAAACATCCGTGGTTTTGGCATAAAAATAGCCTGTCCCTTGAAGTTACGCCTGTAGAAATGATACACTGGCATTCCCTTATACGTATCCGCATAAACTACAAACAAAATGTTTTTATTTTACGCCAATAATAAGTGAAAGTGATAAGCATAGCTAATTATTCCTATTGAACTGATATGCACTAATCTGAAACAAAATTGAAATTGTATTTCTTTTTATATAAAAAAAAAAGTATATAGAAAAGAAAACATACCCTTACTATTCATGTAAGCTATTTGTTCCTCCAACGTATGCTTCGGCCTATAAAGGCCCTTTTTCTTTTCTACAGTATTATAAGCATAACCAATAGCTTCTCCTACATTTCCATTATCTTCTGAACTTCCTTCTTCCACTTTTGAGGCACAGTAGAACTGGGATGAATTGTGATAAGTACAGCTGATCAGCGGAAGTGTCCTATTTGACAACCCAATGCTTGAATTGCAAAGTAGCAAGCGAATATGCCTATTGAGCATAACAGATCTGCAAGTCGAAATATCAAATTTACGACGATATATGAAGGACGGAGAGCTTTCGAATTGATTTTAATGTGAGATGAAAAGATCACAGTATTATACTATAAACAACCTTCACAAGATCTAAGAAAATAAAGCCGAATATTAAACGATATTCCTTAACTTAATTTTCGGCATAAATTTTCTCTTCAACCATTCAATTTAGCGAAATGCTTAAAATTGAAAAAAATCATCTCGCGAATTTCATCACTGTTACCCAATTCGAATAAAATCCGAATTCTCCAATACCCTTCTACATTAAGCGGTTTATTCCTGTAGGTACAAAGTTGAAACAAATCCGAACTCCAAGAGTGAAACATCTTGAGTCCTGATTTGGAACAAAACCCAGTCTTATCCATTTATTATTCATCTATTAAATTCACAAAAATAACATAGAGCACATTTGACCCTAACATGAGGAGAAATAACTGATGTCTCGAACAAAAGAATAATCGAGACACCATTCCTCATCGGGATATTGAAATTTACCATTCTGAAAGGATAAGAAACGGAAAGAGTAGATGGTTGCAATACTTGATAAAACCAAAAAGAAGTATACATAAGAAGCAAATATGAAAATAATTTATTAGATCAATTAATAAACAAAATATTTAGCATTTACCAGCATAAACAAATTAGCTTCAATTAGTCTTGCGAGAACTCTCATCTGTAACATATTTGAAATTAGAAAACAATCAATTCATATCTTATCTACAGGATATAGACTTGAATTCAATTAATTTGGTCTCATTTAATATTAAAATAGATCAGTTAGTATCCAACAAGAAAACAATCAATGGAGTGCAGAAAAACAACAATAAACAGCAAGCAAATCAGAATACACTAAGCAGATATAACAAACTAAGGTTAGTAAAACTGAAATGAAATGAGAATAGTCAGTGACCACTGACCAAATCGTTTATAAGGCTAACTTCATGACATCAACATGTCATTACATACAAAAATGGATTTCTCTTTAATTGGCTATTTAACAATGAAGTCAGCTCAGCACATTTTCAAGAGAATTAATACTGGATGACTTGACAAAATCTGCCTTTTTACAAAGCAAAACTTTGCGAAATCATTCAGTATTATACTAAGGGCTACTTAGTGCTACTGATTTATGGACAACTTATGTACAAAATCGCAGGGTTTAATATGACGTCATTACTATCTCGGCATTTCCAGTTTCTCAGCAAGCTCAGCCAGAATCTCATCCGTTCGCTTACGCCAATTTTCCACATCCTTTGACACTTCTTGCCACAGTTCACCGTGTCGCGGCTCAGCTTGCAAGCATTTTTTCTTTACCAAATCTTGCTCTTCCTTTAAAAAAAGTGAAACAACTCCAGAATATCTCCAGAATAATATGAATTGTCTTCACCAGCTATATCTCAACCATTTCGGATATCCTCAACAACTAAGACTAACGGATCAGTTAAGCTGCACTTTCCCTATAGACAGAACAACTCTACCGAATATACAACCAAGCAATAATTCCTTGACCACTGTGAAGTGAAGCTCCATTATCTTTGACTTACTTGTGAACCATGCAACAGTTCGAATTTGTAAAAGAATGCCCAAGCGTCCCCAAAATCGGGATCAATTTTGACGGTTCGCTGGAACCATTCGCGCGCTTTCCTGATCTTCCGCTCTGTCCAAAACAGTTTCGCTACAGCTAATAAAACATCGGCATTATGTTCACATTTCTTCAGAGCATCAACTGATTTTGTACGTCGACCATGACGTTCTTCCATGAAAATTGCTTCCGCCCATAGACGTCCTGCATTTTAACAGAAATTTAGCCAACTTTATGAATTTGAAAATACCTATTTAAATGTCCCATTATTTACTATATTTTGCTAGGAAAGCGTTAATAAAAAGCCTAAACACTCGGAGACTTTATTTGGCAGTCATTAGAACAATAACAGGCAAAATCAAAATCACAGTGACAAATACCTGCAAAAGTGTAAGGAAAGTAACCAGAAAGTGGTCAGGATGGAATTGAAACCAATTCTAAGAAAGGAATGAATAAATTCACAAATAAAAAATTTAAAAGTTGAAGGAAACTTGATACGAGGATTGAGATTACCTGAATGCTCACACTCTTGTAAAGCTCGAGCCAATCTTTCTTGTGCAAGTTCTTTCAAACCAGCTCGCGCTTCAATTCGTACGGCTTCTAGCCTAAATCTTTGTGAAATCAAAAAAAGTTTCGATTTCCTTTATTAATATGAGGACGCTTTTATATTTTAGAAGCAAATGACAACTCCTAGTGCTATTCCGCATTGCAAACAAATAATAGAATTTACCAGAGTTCTGAATTTTTCGGGTTACGCAAACGAGCCTTTTCCAGATCAGACCTAGCTTTTATTATTTGATTTTGTGATTCTTCCAAACGGCTCAACCAGATCCAAAGTGGAATAAAAGTGGGACAGTGTTTAACCTGAAAAAAAGTACAAAAAAGACACTTTGAAGAGAAATTTAGCTGGTGATCAGAAAGCTAAAATTTTAAACAAAGAGGAATAAGATGCTAAAAAAACCTACACCATCGGAGAAATACTGGCGCGCTTCATTATAATTCTTTTCCTGCTGAAGTATTTGACCCATCATAAGATATAATTTTGGCGTCTCTGGAAATTGTTCCAATGCTTCCGTCAAAAGCTTCTTAGCAGCAATTAAATCTTCCAAACACCATTCTAATCTGCAAGCACAAAAAGTAAAAAAGTCAACATAATTCGTTTGAATTGGCAAATTTCAAAATGCTTCCTTGGCTAAATTTTTTCTTTTTGATTTATCGATCTTTAAAATGAAATTTATATAGTGAGCAAGGCAATATTTTGACATTTGAATAACAATTTATTTCTAGATTCCTTCAAAGTAAGTGTGTTACTAAGTCATTCTAAACGCACAAAAAAACTCATAGTAAGGAAGGATATTGAAGAAAACAAATAAGTTTACTTCTATGTTAAAGAAAATAGTTTTTAAAATAAGTTAAAGGTAGCTTGTATTAAAGTACCTAACAGATTTAAGATAAATGCGTGGGGAAGGAGCGATTTCTCGAGCTTTTTCCAACAATTTCCGAGCTCTTTGGAATTCATTGTTTTCGGATTCTAGCTTTACAGCAGCCATCCAGATTTCTTCCGAATTTGGATTATTCTGAAATCAAATATCATTTTTTATACAAATTTCAGCTCTATCCAATAGATTTTTAAACTTTGTAAAGATTCGGCGAGAAAGCAAAGCAGCAGAAATAATAAATAACTGCCAGAAACCATATTAATATATATTACGAGTCAAAAAATGACCTGAAAAGCTCTTGCAAGAATTTCACGAGAAGCTTTTACATCACCCGCCAACCATTTACTTTTCGCATACATCAACCATAACGTTTCTGCTTTTGGACATTTTTCAACCGCTTTTTGCAATAACTGATCGTAACTTTCCCTAAAAATTATGCATTTACTTATGAACTATTCCAAAAGCTTTCAAATGCAATTGCCACAAAGCCATTGATAACACAGATATTTTTCATGTCCCTCTAATAAGGAACTGTCTCAATAAGTACGACTCCCTGCCCTTTGATTAACTAAAGAACAAGCAACGCAAACACTAAAAACTTACGTTGTACCATGGTTTCGTTCAAAGTGTGCTGCAGCAAACCATATACCTTTCTTGGTTGGAAAAACAAGTAAGGCATGAGCATATACGGCACGAGCACATTCATAAGCTTCTTGAGCAACAAACTGCAAGTTAAATTCTTCCCAAATTTCTGCGCAATTTATAAAACATTGAAATATATATTATATATTGTGCTGATACAGTGCTGATACACAGAACTTCTTCACTTCTTTCAAATTAAAATATGCCATGTGGGAATTCAAATAGCAGTAATCGTAAAAATATTGTAAGATTACCGATTCTGCATCTTCCATCCATGTATGCTTTCGGTCTTCTTCCTCAACACCAATTCCAAGCACATGGGAAATTATAGCTTGGGAAGTGAGTCTGCAGTTGGCCTAAAAATGATTCAATTCATTATCCAGTTATCTTCCTTCCACAATGTCTTTTCTAGGGCAAAAAAAATAAGGGTTTCCAAAAACCTAAAATTCACACCACAATATACTGAAATATACCTTCTCAGCATCAACGGCATCTTTCAACCAGTGTTCACGATTGATTTCTACCATATTCGCTTTCAAGGAAGTAATAGCCCTTTCGATAATCCTATCAACCATATCACTTTGTCCTCGAGTTTCCTCCAACCTTGCAGCGCTAATCCAAATCTGCCGTTCAGTAGGGATATGCTCACGAGCTCTGTTTAGGACACGACGTGCATTTTCATATGTTTCTAGACGTGCCAGTGCTAGCCATAGCTCTGTCGAAGTACTGAAATTTTCCATCAAGAGAGTTACTTGACTATTCTAAAATTTTCTAAATCTCAATTTTCTTCTAATCACAATTTTCTTCTAATCAATCAAGTTAAGTCAACTGAAGGGTATTATAATCTTTAGTTACAGTAAATAGTAAGTGAGTAACGTAAAGTAGATTGAAATACGCCTTAAGAAGCTGAATGGTTTAAAATTCAAAAGCTTCTAAAACATTGAGATTTCACCTGCAGCATTCCACAGCCCTTGTAAGTAAAATTCTAGCATCTTCTGGCTCTTCCAATTCCACCGCCGCTTTCCACAAACGTACTGAAGTTGGGATTTGTTCTAGTGCTTTGCGAAACACCTTCTTCTTTGCTTTCAAATCTTCCTCGAGTTCAGCTGCTTTCATCCATATACGTACCGAATTTGGTAATGAACGCACGGCAGCAGCCACTGCAAAAATAATTGTGATATTTCAAGAATGATTCTGTATAGGGTTTAAACGAAATTAAATCAGTTTGAAACAAAACTATTCATTACCAATAGCTTTCGCCGTATCCGGAGGATGTAAACGAACTGATTCCAGCCACAAATCTTCACTCTTTGGATTCCGATCACAGCCTTCTATGATTAAATTACGGGCTACCTGCAATTTACCAACTACTTCTTCCAAGCGCGCCGAAGCGATCCATGCTGGAACAACACTGATTAGGCATTTTCAACACAAACAGTACATGGATAAAACAAATTTGGTGTAAAGAAAGCGGAAATAGACCCAGTGTCGAGCGTATGTGATTGTCTTGTGATAGAAATTAAGAGGAAGAATGTTACTATTTAGATTAGATACTTAAAATATATCTCATGGAAAATTAATCTGGAAAATAGTATCCGGAGAATGTAAAATACGAGCAAGTAAGAAACTTTACCTGGTGGATGCCGTGGATTGGTTTCTCGAACCGATTTCAAAAGTAAACGGGCTTTCTTGATGTCATTGATGTCACCACCGTATTGCGGTATCATTGATTGCAAATCTGTTAGGTAACCTTTTGGGTCCACCACTGTCTGCCCCGTGACGGAATCCGAAACCTGGAAGTTTGTTACAAAAAAAGATAACAAAGCTAATTTTATCTCACAAAATATAATTCTTCTGAATCAGAGTTGATATATGAACCGAACAGTATCGCTTCTAAATTCAGACGAAGAAATAAAATTTTGTGGTAATTAGTAGGAAAACATGAGAGATTTAGGATGTCCATAAGCAAAATCAAAATTTTGATATCCTTCAAACAATGAAGCATAACAGATAGATGGAATTCTAAAAATACAATACCTTTACTGCGGATGCTGTTATGAATCCAGTAATCTGTATAAATGAACGATACCTGGTTTAGTTTGATATCCATGATTGCGTTCCTAGCTTGGCCAATTTTTCGTAAATCAAGATCCGCAGATGATGAAGAGCCGGACTGTATTCCAGTTTTCCACCCGGGCGTTAACAATCCACTTTTTATGCCACTTAGTGTAGACATAAAACCACTACCATAAGTAGAAATCATTCCACTAAACGTCGAGGTAATTCCAGAACCCATTGGTGTAAGCAGACCGGACTGAATACGACTGTCCATCTGGCTATTCATCTGACCATACGACATTGCAGATGCGATTATCGAATCTGGCACCGGAGTAATCCTAAAAACCATAACATATAAAGGTTTCTATTGATTGCGATTTCTGGAACATTCTTGTTTGCAAAATCTCCGCCGATATCCTAAAAGAAGTTTCACAAAACAGAAATCTGAAAATCATACGCAATAAACGTAATGAAAAGCATTATAACTAAAAAAGGATACTTGTCTGCACGTGGGTTACGTTTCGCTTTATTTCGAATGTCACCAACTTCCGGAATTGCCGACCATTCCGCTTCTGTCACGTTAGACAGTTGACGCTTCAAGTCAGAAAACTCTTGTTGAATTTTTGGCCGTTCTTTACGATACTTTTCGATTGCTTCTTTATATTTCTTCTCTCTAAATCAAATAGCAAACTGATTGCAAAAATCAAATAACAAACAGTCCAACAAAGTGCTGTTCAAGAAAAAGTGATAAAACCTAACACCAGATAACAAACAAGTTTACCTATATTCTTTCCGACGTTCATCAATCCGCGAATCAACAGCACTGTAAATTTCGTCTGCTTCTTCGTCATCTTTATCATAAGGATCCTTCGAGAATAAGCTTCCACCATAACCTTCGAACTGAAATTTCAACATATGGCATGGAAAAGGAATGCTACTATTGTCAACAGAAGTGAAAACTTCATATTAATTTATTCAAAATGATATTAAGCACTAAATGGATATTCTGCACAAACATTTGTAGTTGAATTATGAACAAAATTAGTTATTAGCTCTCAAACGTTTCAACCTGAACTACAATAATTAATATCAATATTTCTGCTGTAATTTGGCAAAAATGAGCAGTTAGTTTAACCTCATCATAGTTAGAATCATTCAAATCTTCGTTATCATCTTTCTTATCATCATCATCATCGCGGGCTTTTTTCGCCGGACCAGCTGGTGGTAACTCTGGTAAGTCGGTGCTGTCACGAGCCGGTCCGATATCGGAACGTGTCGTAAAACCAGTTGCACCACGGCCAACACCAGCAACGTAACCCGCTGGTGCAGGCATGCCCAGAAAATGCTTTTTCCGCTTGTTCACGAGAGAACCGGGGATAGTTACCGTTGTCATGTTTGTCTATAAATGTTTCGTATTTATATAAAAAAAGCAAAAGTAACGAGTCTTATAAAGAAATTATAAGAATTACTAGCACTTTAAGACTATCATCTACGACAATTATTATTATTAACCATTAAAGTTTCCTAGATCATAAAGTATTTCAGATAATAACCACTGCTACGGTTTAAAAAATCCAAAAACTTGTCGAATTTTTCACAGCTAAAGGAATAACATCTCAAAATTGCAGCATTTTGTATGCTTCGCAAATAAAAAAAAGAAAGGTTAGATAAAAAATTCTCTTGTGCTTTATTAGAAATGGCTATTCATAAATTTAAAATTTCCAAACCAAATGAAATTAAATTAGCTTCCACTTGACATTGGATTGCAAAAAAGAACTTGAACGAACAACTTCTAACCCTTGACCCCCAACCCTTAACCTTTAACCCTCCACTCTAACCCCTACCACCAACAATAACCCGTCATCAATCTCAAAACAAATGAAATAAAAGAGACGAAAACGCTTTTCGCAACCACTAGAAATGGTTTGTTAAAATTCAATAACAATAGATCACGGTGACGGAACCATTGCGAAAACGGTTCTTACCACCTCGCAATACGAATGCTATCCTGAGCTGCTATGAGCTTCAAAATAGTGTAATTCCTGAATTAAAAATAAATTTAATTTTTTAATTAATTTCAACTTTCCAGTTCAACTTTCTACTCATTTTTAATAGCTTTTACAGGATAGTTTTTGCATTTCAAAAATTTCAATTTTTCAGTTTTTTTTTTTGGAATATTTAAATAACTGGATGATGATATGCGCTATGCTAATTGTAAACGACAAATTTATCTGATAATCTTATAATTTAGTTAAATTTAACTGAATATGGAAAATCTCCTCTGATAATCCATTTCATTTCTTTTTTTTTTCATTTCTTTTTTTTTCTTTTTTTCATCCATTTCACTTTTTTTTAAAGCAAAGTTATCCATTTTATTTCCTTACCATACCATCTGTTTATCCATGTCGATTATATCTTTCTGTTTTAGTTTATTTATTTATTTCACAAAGAATTTGTTTACTGTTTTCTTCCATTACAATTAAAACAGAAAGAGAGTTTAAAACAAATCCTTTACATTTGATTTTAAAATAATTGAAAAATTGTCAAGTTTGATTACAAATTTGTTCTTTCTTAAATTTCTTACTTTAATTAAAATGCAAAAATCTAATTTCTATTAATGTTTTAATACATCATTGGTTGCTTTCGTATGTTTTTCTTATTATTCCCATTATGATCTCTAATTAATTATGTGGTTTGAAAGAGAAATTACGCGCATAAAATTGTGATCAAAATTTGTGACAAAAATTTAATATCACATGGCGAATATCAAATTTTAACTCTGAAATTTAAATACCAATGAGATATTTTATTGGTATAATTAATTCTAAAGTATTATATTTCAATATGTAATATCGAAAATGCTTGTAATACACAAATATAGCATTATTTAAGCTTTAAAAGATAATAATAAAATTGAAATGTAATTGGAAACTCACATTGAAGTTTTTCTAAGAAGTAAACAAATGAACGATAACAGTATGATTTCTGCATTATTTTTATATATTCAATAATATTTTATTGTTTTTAGTAAATACAAATAATTATGCACAAATATTAGAAATAATATTTCCAGAAACGAACAGGCAATGATGATGATGAAGACGATGATAATGATAATGATGATGATTGTGGCGATAATAATAATGACAATAATAATGATGATGAAAGTGATGGTAGTGATGATGATGATGATGATGATGATGATGGTTGTAAAGCAAACCAAAAATTTTTTAACTAATCATATCGAATTAAAAAGTATGTCTACTATATATATCTATTTAAATTCAAAACGAATTTACTAAAATAAATTAATTTAATTTGCAATTTTGTTCTCGATTAAACTATTTACGATATTAATTCACTTATTAAGCAATTATCATGCAAATAAGGGCATACTTAATAATTACTATATAATGTAATGCTGCTAAATTTTGATAGCATTGTTTATATAATCTAACTTCAACACACCCAAACAATGAAAAGAATAGTTTAGAATATTTATGAAAAGAAATAGCTTAAAATCAAGCAAGTTTAACCAAAGAGTAGTTATAACCAAGCAAAGTTATTAAAGAATAGCCTGTGGTCAAGTAAATCTATCAAAAGAATAGCCCGTGGTCAAGTAAATCGATCAAAGGAGAATAGCCTATGGTCAAGTAAATAGATTAAAGGAATAGTTTAAGATTAAGCAAGTAACAATCAATAGTTGCCTAAAATTATGCAAATTTATATGAAATTTAAACTAAAGAATATAAATAAAAATATGAAATACATATTATGTTGAAATAAAGCAATGTAAAAATTATGTAGTAAAAGTAAATATTTTACAAAACTAATTGCGATATTTACAAATATTTCTGTATGTATACATGTTTAAAGTTTCTAGATTGATTGTTTGATAAGAATACTGATAATAGTCCATTTTGTTCATTGATATGATAAGATGACTAATCAATCATTATCTTGTTCATAATCTGCTTCAGTATCAATAACAGGAGCTGTGATATCTTGTATTTATTCATAACAGCATCATATGTGTTGC